CCGGGTATCATTTTTTTTTTGTTTTTCATAAGAAACGCTGCGAAATTAAGCTCCGAATTTTGAAGATTTTGGAATCAAACAAAAATAAACTCCTATAAACTCCGAATTTTCGGGAAAAAATAAACTCCGAAAAACACCCTCCGTACTTGACGAAAAATAAACTCCGAAAACCCGGAATCCTATTTACGAGGCAGCACGAGGCTGCGCTTTCTTGAAACCAAACGCAAGTGTCTGAACCAGAGTTTAGTGATGAATCGAGGAAGGTTTTTTCTGGAGAAATATTTATTCGCCTCTTTACGGCGACTTCTCTCCCTGAATTTGTGAAGCGGTCGAGATGCTTTGACAGTGCTGCGCGCATTTTTCCTCCGAGCTGATTATCTTGAAGAAATTCTGTTCGAAGCTTGGCTTTTGTCTTATGTGTCCGCAGTTACGCGCTAAATTACCGGTGACTGCGGCGCATTTAAAAAGACGCTCGAAAATGAACCCTTCTTTAAATAAGTGGTTCAATGTCGCGCTGAAACTCAAGCTTTATTTATTTAATTATTTATTCAATATTCCTTTCAGCGCTCAAAAGCATTACAGAAAAAAAAGGGGGGGGGGGGTACATACAGAGAGAGGAAAACCATTACCGAACTCTAGGTTTGTGACGTAAAGTTTGCAAGTGGCAAGACCAATAAGAATAGTAAGCTTTATACAAACTTCAACACATTTAACACAATCAGGACATAATGTACAAGCACTCTTCAATAAGTCTGAAAAAAAAAGACATTGCTGGATAATTTCAGGACAAGCGACTCCGGGAGACAGTTCCATTGATGAATCGTAAGAAAAAAAAGAGTGTTTAAGGATATTGGTGCGGCACGAATATTCGCGAACCGTTTTCTGATGATCTACCCTGCGTGATATGAAGTCAGGTAGCTGAAGAAACGATCCCCTGTTTATGCCCGTTTTGGTAAAAAAATGCTATAAAAGAGTTTTAAACCTAAAGCAAATCTTCGGCATTTTAGCGGCTGCCAATCAAGACAGTATTTTAGGAGACTCGACGTTACATTAAAATCATAATTTCCGGTCACGAATCTCGCTGCTACGTTTTGAACCCTTTCAAGGTCATCACAAAGATACCGTATCTGGAAGTTTTGAGTAAACAAGCATACTCAAGATTGGGCCTTATATTTGTCGAATACAATGTCTCCTTAACTTTGGAAGGGCACTTTCTAAAGTTGCGTCCAAAAATACAACCTATTAGTCGCTTTAGCGGTTATTTTGTTAACATGAGACTGCCAGGATAAGCGTTCTCTAAAAGCTATCCCAAGATATTTTACTTCTAGAGTTATGGTCAGTGTAGTGCCATTTAGGCTGTATAAAAAAAATTTGCGGTTTAGTTGTTTTTTTTTTGTTTTTTTTTGAGAAGCGCACATGATGGCATTTATCAATGTGTAGATTCATATGCCAACTTTTTGATCAGTCTGCAATGCAGTCTATATCCTGTTGCAAAGCAGTGTCATCAACAAAATTCTGAACAGATCGATATATTACGCGGTCGTCGGCATAAAGACGAATACTTGGCTCTATGTCCATGGTAATGTCATTAGTGAAAATGAGAAATAAAATGGGACCTAGAACGGAACCCTGCGGGACCCCCGAAGTGATGTTTACATATGCAGATTTTTTTACCGTTTACAACAACGCACTGTTTTCGCTCAGTAAATTAATCTTTTAGCCACAGTAACACATTAACTGAAATATTTAATGAGCATAATTTAAGTAATATTAATTAGTGTGAATCAGTGTCGAACGCGTTTTTAAAATCAAGAGAAACACAATCCACTTGAGAACCTCTATCATAAGAGAACGCCACATCATCAAAAATTCTAGTAACTGCGTTTCGCATGAGAAGCCGCTTCTAAGCCCATGCTGGAAGGGAGAAAAATAGTTGCTCATGTTCAGATGATTGACTAAAGTGCTAAATATTATGTGCTCAAGTTGTTTTGAGCATGCGGGTAGAAGAGATATAGGCCGGTAGTTATCTACTTTACTCTTAGATACACTTTTTTGCACAGGCACAACGCTGGCTACCTTCCACTTTGCTGGCATCTTTAAGGATGTCAAGGATTTTGGGAAGAGAATAGCGAGATAAGAGGAAACCACGTCAGCACATTCCTTCAAAACTCGATTTAGGATTTCGTCAGGGCCAGTGGCTTTATTGATGTTCAAGTTCAGAAGAAGGCTACGAATTCCGTCAGCATTTGTTTCTAAGTTCAACATTGGAGGAAGTGACTCATCCAGAACATGATGGAGCACGCAAGTTCCTGGTTGGGAAAAAATTGACTGGAAGTAATTATTGAAGCAAAATGCTTCCTCGCAATCATCAGATACCGTTGTTCCATTACTGTCAATTGGCGGTAATCTGGCGTCCTCTTTTTTGTTACTTCCAATATATTTACATACAACTTTGGAATTTGTTTTTAAACGTTGTTCCAGAAAATTATGGAAGCTTTGTTTCGCCGTTTTTAGCTGCTGTTTAAAAGACTATTTGATTGTTCTAGTTGACTAAAAATCTCAGTGGTTTGGTTTTTACGATAGCGTAAATAAGCACGCCTTTTTTTCTTTATGATGGACCGCAGCTCTCCGTTTATCCATGATTTATCTTTGCACTGCCTTGACCGTAGTATTTTTGATGGTGCGTAAATATCAATTACATGCTTTCATTTACATGAGAAGGTATTTCACAGATCGTTCGTTAAAGATAAACTGAGTTCCTCAAACTCAAAATTAAAGGAAAATAGTTCTTCCGTCAGGCTAGAGTAAGTACCCAGGTCATAGAAGTAAACCCTTCTGGAAACACAATTGGAAGTTTTAGCCTTGAGGGCATTTCAAATTACCAATAATGACGTCGTGGTCGCTGATTCCTGGCAGAACCGACACAGAAGACAAAATAGCTTTTTGATTCGTAAAAAGGAGATCCAGCATACTGGCTCGTTAAACACCAGTTCTTGTTGGCGATAATACGTTTTGATAAATATTGCAACTTGAAATAAAATTGGTGAACGAAGAAGAAATGGAAGACCAGATTATCATTGCACAAGGGAAAGTTGAAATCACCTCCTAGTATCAAATATTCAGGGCAATAGCAGCGTGTCTGATATTTCTAGCAGGGACTGACAACTAAAACCTGGAGGTCCGTAAAAAGAACCAACCGTCAAAAATACACCGTTTTGAAGTGCTACCCTACACCATACTGACTCAGCACAGTGATTAGTATTGATTCCAGTGCTCTGCAAGCTGTGATGAACCAAGATAAAGACGCCACCGTCATGCGTGTTTCTGTCCTTGCGACAGACACAGAAGTCGGAGTGAAAAACCTCGGCGTTAGTAAAAGAAGCATCCAACCAGGATTCAGTGCCAATGACTAGGCTAGATTTTATTGATGCAAGAAGGGAGGAGAAGTCGTCGACCTTATTTGTATGCTGCGACAGCTCAAAAGCAGAACAAGAAGATCAAGCACTGGAGATACGGGTTGATGATGCCGATTACGGGATTGTTATGATAGAGCTCTAACTGACTGTTTATTGTCGTCATAGAAAAAAGTAGAGTCCCCGACAATAAACCTATCTCCTTGCGACTTCCCAAATAGCAAAAGCTGCCTTCGTTCGTAACGCATATTTTTGGAAAAATCCTCACTAATAGCAATTCCAGAATCCTTGAGCTTAAATCCCAAAGATAGAAGGCGTTTTTTTTTTTTTAAAGACAAAATATTTACAGTCACGGGCCTTAGCTTGTCAGATCTAAAGCATCCCAGCGTATGGGAGCGCTCTATGTCTGAATGACTCGGAAAGTTTTGGTCCGAGTTTAGTTTCACATATTTCCATATCTTTGATTTGTGCTTGGGACAACGTTTTTTTTTTTTTTCGTCGTCCTCTATTCCGTAAAAGATAAGATTGGAACGCCTCGATCTGTTTTCCAAGTCATCCTGTAGTGCTGACGGATGATCGACCTGTCTAGTAAGCTCTGTGACGACATCCTTTATTTCTTGCATCTCTACTTTCACAGTACTTAACGACGCCATTTCTGTTTCTAGTGCAGCCATTTTGCGCGATAGGTTATCCAGTTTTGTGTTAACATTAAGCTGGTTTTGTTTTACAACTGTTAATTCGTTAAAAAGAGAATCTTGCCCTTTTTCTAGTTTTGGCAGGATCGCAATACCCTTGAGCAGATGTTCCGCTTGTCGCTCTGTGAATGGCCCAGGGTTGTCCTAGACATCTCCGGCCATCATTAGTAACAGCTTAACTACATACGCTTCAACAGCACATTGAAATAGCAAGGTTTTACAAATGGCATGAATACACACATACACGATGGTGCTAAGGCACGGCACCGACAAGTAACTTTCTTTTGAACGGTAGCTAACGTCATAATAAGAGAGGCCAACCTAAAGTACAAGGAAGCGTAAGCGATCGAAGCACTTCATTTCGGCACCGAGCCCCGTCCAGACGGAGACCGGTGGCTCCTTTTGTAGGTTGTGGTCAAAGGCCGTGCCCATTTTTGGTCCCCTGGCGTCGAAGTTTATGCCAATCAGCGGCAGCCGATAGGCATCAGATGCAGGCAGTCGTAGGAAGTCGAGTGTTGGGGAATGCCGATGTCATCCAGGTTGCCGATAATGCCAATGTCATCCAGGTCTGTTGTGGCCCGAAGAATTGGTGTGCCGTCTTGTATGTTCCAGGCAGCGAAGAAAATGTGAAGTACAAGGAAGGCGTAAGCGATCGAAGCACTTCATGTCGCCACCCCCCCCCCCCCCCCCCCCCGTCCAAATACCGCTTTAGTTGCAAAACAATACGTACATAGGAACGAATTTTGCTAATGTTAATCACCAGAGCCAACAGCGATCGTACACAAAGTGAATAATGGTCCAAACAGTAAAAAGATTTTGAGGTGATCTTCTTTGCCGTAGTTTAAAAATACCTAGCGAGCGTGCCAGGCTCACAGGCACTTTTGCCGCGCAGAGGACGAGTCGGTGTCGGAGTTTCCCCGGCTGACGCTGATCGAGAAGCTGGTGCCGGACCAAGTGGCGGTGGAGATGAACGGGCGCCCCGGCGGGCCGGTGTTCCTGGTGCATCCCATCGAGGGCCACGTGGGGTCCCTCTCGAAGCTGGCCCGGGAGCTTCCCGTGCGGGCCGTGGGGCTGCAGCGCACTCGCGACGTCCCCGCACGCAGCATAGGGGAGCTGGCCGCCATCTACCTAAAGGTGCGTTCGCACCGCCCGCCCTCCCTCCGGCCGGCAGGCGCGAGGTGTCGCGCGCGGTGTCGACCGAAAGATTGCAGGAGGACTGCACAAACTCTTAGTCGCGGTGACGCTCCTACTGTGCAATCCACTTATAACGATACCACGTATAACAATGTACCGCCCATAACAATCGATTCCAGACTAGAAAGGCCCAGTTTCTCATCCTGATACTACAATAATCGGTTATTACAAATGAATTTTAGGGATTTCTCATTGTCGTTACAAGTGGACCGCGCTGTAATACATCGCCTAAATACATTCTGCAGACACTTTCTGAGGCTTGTTCCTTCCTGCCAGATTGGACAGACATGTTCGAAGCTCGCATACGTACAAACATGTTCCTAACCTGCGCGAGGGCAGATGATCTCGTCTTCTGTACTATGTATGGGAAGTGCGACTGCAGCTTAAAGGGGCGATGTAACCATTCTTGGACTTTTAGTTAATACCGCTTAGAATCGTTCCCTGAAATTCGTAACCTATAGCTGTGAAGCGCGCCTTAGTTTAATTTTTCTCCACGCGATGAGAGTGGCGGAAAAAATTAAAGAAAAAGAGCGATATTCGTCCACTCGACAGAGTTCCGACATTGATAGGATTCGGCTATTCCCGTTATCGCGGCGATCGGGCACGAATCATTACCCGAATTCACGTCGAGGTATTGTCACGAGCCCGAATCGAACGCTTTGGTAGTGCATGCTTGCACACACTGTACCCGAGCCGGAAGCGCACACGACAGTGGCTAAACGGCTGCCCAGTGGGCACCCGTTTGGATATTGACGCTGCGGACATCGCCAAGCTCGTTGATTATATCCTGGGGGTTGCATCGCTGACGACACCAACGACAAGCGCACGTGCGCTTCCGCCTCTTGAGCGCCCATCGAAGCTGCGCACGCACACTTTTGACTTCCGAAAAATAGCTGACCGAAAGTATAGTGTTGTAACTGCGGTTGAGCATAACTGCAGTCAAGGGTACCTCAACTCAGGTTACGGTTGCCCGTGTAAGTGGGGTATAAAATGCGTTAGGGGGACTCTCGAGAAACGCCAATGATGCCTTTTTTGGGAAACGCTAATGCTCACCCCTTTCCTTTTCTCTTTTGGTTTTCTCTTTTCCTTCCTCTATTTTTCGATGTCTTTTTTTCACTTCGTTACAGGATCGGTGTTATCGTTTTCCAAAGGGGAACATGTGTGGCGTTTCCCAAGGGTCGTACTGACGCATTTCCTGAAGATCCACCGATGGATCTTCTTTTATTTATTTTTTTTGCCACCTACTACGGTACACCGTGCATTTACGAGGGCGCCCATCAAGCCACTCTGGCATCGTTTCCACGATGCGGCTATGCAGTTGCCTCGCCTCAGACACGATTTAATTCAATTCCATTTATTTCCAACACAGAGTTGAGGGTCCCCAGGCGAAAAAGTTGTCGTTGACAGCTTGAGAGTGCCTTGGGGCCCATACAGACAGACAACCACATGGTCGTATTGCCGCGGGGTCGATTTGGATCTTGAATTCGGCTCCCGACGTGCCACTTTCTCTCCTAGCCACTGGATGGAGCTGCAGGCGCCTTAGGGCGGGCGAAGAGAAACCTTCTCGCCCATCGACGAGATATAGAAACACCTCCTAGAAGAGAAGGCCGTAGCGCTCCGAGTGGTTACGTCACAATGTCGGAGAAGGAAGTCCATGGCGCAACAACGTGAGAAAATTTCTGGAATCGACGTGAAATAAACGTTCCTAGTCGAGTGGCACGGTGGTGTTCATGAGCGTTTATCCGACATTAATATATGTTTTGAAAGCGCAGTCTTGTACAATTTATTATATATGTAATATAAACGTAATATACAACGCGCTACCAAAGTTGAAAGTACCAAGTTTATATTCATGATTATCCCCGTAACCGCGGGACGACGTGCAGTCCAGCAGCCCCCCACACTTTTCAAATGAACCGGTACGCTGCGACGCTTTCTTCCCCCGTTACGGGCTCCGATTTCGGTAAATTTACGTTGTGTGTGACCTGCTGACTATCTAAGAAGGAAGGCTGAGACATTCAGAAGGGAAGGGAACCGAGGAAAAATCCAGTCATCTCCGCTGGTAGCGCACACGAGCAAGAGATGAATCGACAACGTTAAGCCTCCTACACTGCTACCGCTGCTCTTGTTTGTGTGTGTGTATGAAGTTCTTTTGATCTTCCCAGCCGTCGTTTTTTTTTTGTCGTCACCACAGTCTCGGGTAGTTTTTTTTTTTGTGTGTGTTCGCTTGATACTACGGCATTTACGTGGATTCGCGGGACAGGTCCTCCTACGGTTTGAGTGACATGTGTGGCAACTAGCCAACGATGACACTGGTCGATTATCGATAGACCTCTCTCTCACGACAAAGAGAAACTTAAAGTTCGTGTTCAAATGTTTTCGTGCCAGATATTGTGGAACGTATGGATACGATCGGCAGGTGAGAAACAACTATTTACGGGCTTTCTTGGTCATGTGGGACGCGAGTAAAATTCTGCAGTCGGTTTTTTTTTTTCGTGATAGAATGATATTTATTTTTCTATTTATTTATTTATTTACCCTAAAGGCCCAAACGGGCATTACATAGGGGGGGAGCGATAGTACAAAATTTAATACTATTGGGCCAAGTGGAAACAAAACGATTACATAGTTGGCTTAAACAATGTTAAAGAAGCAATAAACAATATAAATAACAAGAACACTGGATGAAAACATGACACAAAGCAGCACTATATAGGTTGGTACATATTACTTAAGGAACTAATGAGCATATTAGGTGAAGTGATTAACGAGATTTCTCCGGGCAGGCTGTTTCATCCGGAGATGACAATACCCAGAGGGGAATTCTTTAACAAGTTAGTGCGGGCAAAGATGGGCGATGATCTACGCGAGACGAAATACGATGTGCAGGCTGAATGAATGAGGTCCTAAAGGGAGATGATTTATGATAGATCTTCCAGAAAAATGACATGGGAGCAATACATCGTCTGTACTGCAGTTGGGTTAGGTTGAGGCTACGTTTTGCGTTAGACGCGCTAGAAGTACGGGAGAACTCGCGGGTTATAAATCTTGCAGCTTTATTTTGAAGTGCCTCAAATGGTTGGTTAAGTAAAGCTGACGAGGGTGCCGTATGGTGGATGCGTATTCCTACTGCGACATGACGAGGGTAGTATGGACAAAGAGTTAAGTTTCTTTCTTAGCTTGAAATAAAGAGCGTTTAGGAAAACCAACAGTTCTGGAAGTTTTCCGGGCTACATGTTCAATATGAAGGTTCCATGATAAGTTAGCTGTTAGGTGGACGCCGAGGTATTTAATCGACATAACGTTTTCAGTGGTCCTCTCCATTCATGTACGCGTGATGAGGGATTTGTAATTTCGTTGTAAATGTAACAGCTTTAGTTTCGTTAGTGCTTATTTGCATAAACCATGTGGCGCACTATTGCTGGACAACGTCTAGGTCCCGTTGGAGTATGCGAAAATCCAAGGGGTTAGAAATGACCCGATAAATGACGAAATTGTCCGCAAAGAGACGTATGGTAGATTGAATGTTAGAGTGAAGGTCATTTATATATAAAAGAAACAATACCGGACCGAGGGCGGAGCCCTGAAGGACGCCAGACTTCACCGGCATTGGGGAGGAGACGCACTTGTTAATTACAAAAAATTGAGAGCGGTTTGTTCAAAAAGCAGTTATCCACTTAATAACAGAAGCGTTTATATTCATAGTTTCTAATTTCTTTATAAGTCTGCTATGGGGAACCCGATCAAAAGCTTTAGCGAAATCAATAAAAATAGCATCGTAGGAAAAGAGGAATGAACAGAAAGGTGAAGGTCAGTAATTAATTCAAATAGTTGTTTTTCGCAGGAATGACCACGTTGAAACCCATGCTGATTAGAAAACAGAAGGCTGTTTGAAGGTAAGTAGGTCATAACGTGTGATGAATGTATATGATCAAAGATTTTAAATGAAACGGAAGTGAGCGATATGGGCTTGTAGCTATTGAAATTATTTTTATCTCCGGTTTTAAAAATTGGAATGGCATGAGCAAGTTTCCTGTCATCAGGTAGTTGACAGTGGAGACAGATTGTTGAAACAGCCTGCACAGTAGAACTCCAGATATTGCCGCGCGCGCAGCTGGCCAAGTAGGCAGCGCGTGCGTGGCCTAACGGTTATCTTGCCTGCCTCCCACGCGAAAAGCCAGGATTCGATTCCTGGGAGCGACGCATTTTTGTTAATCCTGCAATTTAGTTTTCTGGTAAATTCGAGAATCCTGTTGGGCTTGTTCGAGGTCTGAATGTTCTACGCGTCGAACATTCTACGCCGATTATTCCAGAAGCTAACGCATGTACAGTCGGGGACCAAAGTCTCCAGGACGCGCGAGCTGCGACTGAAACGCATCGCTCTGCCATCTGCCGGCGGGTCGCCTGGTTTCGAGATCACACGAAAGCGCATGCGCGTCCTACTCTGTCTGCAAGCATGTGTTTTTTCCCGCTTTTCTGCATTGCGGCGCCTAACTCTAAATCGGGCGCGTGGTACCGCCTCGCAGATACCGCTTACTGACATGGCACTTACGAAGCAAGGAGTCACGGCTGCTCAACTGAGCGATAAGCTCAGCTGGTTATAAAGCAAGATGCGCTGACACGGCAAAATGCGGCGTAATGCCGTAGGCGGTATCTCCGGTTTCGGAATGTGTAGCAGAGCTCGTCGGCCGCAAGCGCTATCTCCGAGGCAGTACCACCCGCCCGATTTCGAGTTAGGCGCCGCGCCGGAAAAAAGCGGAAAACCACACATGCTTGCAGGCACAGTAGGACGCGCATGCGCTTTTGTCTGATCTCGAAACAAGGCAACCCGCCGGCAGATGGCAGAACAATGCGTTTCAGTCGCAGCTCGCGCGTCCTGGAGACTTTGGGCCCCGACTGTACATAAGGGGCTCCGCGTGGCGAGCCGCAGTCAGTTTCGC